CTGAATATTTGGGTTGAAGTGTTCTGGAACAGTGTTGTAAATACAACTTAACCACTGATTTCTAGTCTTGTCCATTTTTGGAAGACCAAACAAAGTAGTTTCGCTTTCACAACGAAACAGTGTCACACACGGTGGCCTAGAGTGAGCGGCGGCGGCCTACAGTGAGCAGAGGCCAGGGGCTAGCGTGAGGAACGGCCGGAGGGTTAGAGTGGGCAGAGGCGGGTTGGCTTGAGAACGGCGCGGCCGGCAATTTCAACGAAGGAGCGTCCGGAAGGACATGTGACGACTCCGGGCTGGACTCCGCTTCGTCCACGGTGAAAGCCGATCCAGTGATCCGCAGCGCAAAGTTGTTGTATTTCCTCAGCGACCAGCACGGATCAGCTCCAGGCATGATGAAGCAGATATCGTCCACTTTTGGAAGGCCAAACAAAGTAGTTTCGCTTTCACTACGAAGCACACAGCGCCTTCACGACATGGCGGCGGCAACAACAATACTACAGCGAGAATAAAAGTTACGCCTTCTTTCTTTGCGTGAACATTTGGGCGACGTTATGCAAATCTTCCCACATAGTGAGGTAGACATGTGGGGGTGTGTTAGAACGAGCCGTTTTAGGTAGGCGTGGCTGACTCTTAACTTTTATAAAGAATATCTATCTCTTTGGATTTGAGACTTTAGTCTTTGCAACTTTACAGATCTTCTTTATGCACCAAGAGCTTGTAACACTCCAAAGAGAAAGGAAAAATTGAAATCGCATCATATGACCCCTTTAAGTCGTGATAACGAGAAAACTAATTTTATGTCGAGATCACAAGATAAGTCTTGATAATGAGAAAACAAATTTTGTTATGTCGAGATCACGAGAAGTCGTGATAATGAGAAAACTTTATTATTTCGAGATCACGAGAAAATTAAGTCATGATCACAAGAAAATAATTTTGTCAAGATCACAAATGAAGTTGTGATCAACAGAAAACAAGAACGAAAAATAATAATAATCCATAGCTTCTTAGGACTTCCGTAGGCTTTAATTAGTTTAACAGTGTATAAGCAGCACCTAGTGCTACAGCGCGAAATGACAGGCAGAGACAAACAAACCTCCCCTTTAAGAGACTGTCCCTTTAACAAACTTAACCTGGACACACCTGAACTTCAAACTACGGGAGTTTCAATATAGTAGAGGAAAACCTATACCGAAAGAACTACATCCTGTCCTGAAATATGGGTGAGTAATGTTACACTGGAAAGTTTTATCTGTTTACTTGAGGTGTTAAATTAAGATGTTCTTCAACCCGTGTCGCTCAGAGAGTTTTAGCTTTTTGACATAACAAATGACAGGACTGGTTAAGGAATTTTCTTCGCATTACTAAAATAAGGCCCGTTGAACACAATAAAGATTAAATGTGTCGTGTAGACAAGAAGTTTGAGAATAAGTTCTGTCGTACTAAGTGGTTCTTCTGAACTCGCTCCGTTGATGTGATTATCTGTCCAAGTTGTGTTTGTTCGCTTTCAGTTAACGTTATTCGTCTGCGAGTTAATCGAAGAATTTTGACACTATTAAGGCTAAATGTCGTAGTTTCGTGCTACATAGAAATATTCACAGTATTGATAGATTGGGGAAATAAATTTTCTTTTACAGTCAGAATCATTTACAGTAGTTAGTACTTTTTATATTGTTATCTGTTTTTTCATGACAAATGCCATGAAGTTTGTTTTATAGAAGTCATCGTTAATTTAGTTTGACTATGTTAATGATTTAATTAAATCTAGCTTAAAATAGAACAATTTAACTAAGTATTATAAGTAAATTTTTAGGGTGATATTAGCTTTTTATTTGTTTATTTGATAATCAAGTTCTTGCTGTGCTTTGATATATAATGAATTTCATAATTTCTTCTTCTTCTAATTTATTACATTTTGGTTCCAGAAGATGTCCTTTCACAAAATGTAAACCTCTTACAAAATTACTCAGACAAACTGTTGCCAGCTTCTCCAAACCTTTCATTGCCAGAATTTCTGTTTTGATTCCTAGGGACAGTGGCCATGGGCCCTCCTGGGCCAGCAGCGGTGCCCCAAACTCCTCAGTGGGTAGCAGATGTGGACAAGGTAACAAAGGATGTGAACAGCACTGAGGAGGAAGAAGAGGAAATGATCAAATCTGCAAATATGGAACCCAGTACCCTACAGTGGCCTGAGAATAAACCCGAACCACAGATTCTGCCAGTCAAGGATGGAGAGAGCACAAGCGTTAAATCAGATTGCATCTCAATCCAGGGTGGAGTGAGCCGGACGGAGTGCGAGAGGGAGGAATATGGGCTGAGAGAGAAGGAGAAGACAGGTGAGGGATGGAGGAGGATGGAAGCAGGGAAAGAAAGTGTTTCTGACACTGAGCTGAGAAACAGAGTGAAAAGCACCTGCTCGGAGATAGAGGTGGAGGAGGTGAACATCATGCCAGAGAACGCAGCCCGAGTCTTCAGCCCCAGCATCACCATCCTGCTCTCCACCAGCCAGCTGGAGGCTGCAGACCACTGGAGAGATGAAGAAGAAGAGAGGAGCCCCTTCCTGGAGACACATGGAACACCACTAGAAGAGTATTACAACGACTGGCCCATCACACCCAAATCACGTTGCTGTAAGATCAGATTAAATCATTATGTGTTTTGTAACTTTTAATACACAATATATTTGTACCATATTATGAACTGATATTAGAGATTAGAGAATTTATTGGTGTAGCCTGATATACAGTCCTGTAGCTAAAACAGTAGAGGATGGCGCTACCAAGATCATGGGATCATTTGCCAGGAAATGCATGAACTGATAAATATATACTTGAACGAAATGTAAGCCACTTTATATAAAAGCGTCTGCCAAAATGTAAATGTAAACATAATTTTGGTTATGTTATTGTGCATACTCTTTTCTGCTATTTTTGCATTTAGATTACATTTGTCATTATCTTCTGCTCACTTAAACTTGAAAACACTATTGAATGTAATATTTAATGAACTCAAAATGAATATCCTTTTTCATATTGTTCTTTATGATATTGTGATGGCTAAATTCACTTTTATAATTCAGACTTTTTAAATAATTGATTTTTGTTTTGTTTTGTTTTTAATGTATTTACACATAATAGTATAGAATTTTAATATCTGTCCATCCCTAACTTTTAACAATTTTACGTAAAATCTCACAAACCAAATTGGCTTTTTGCAAACTTGTGCTCCCTCAGGTTTGAAAGTTGCATATTAAAAAATGAACAAATCAGATTGCCACAAAAATATTAAGAAGCACAACTGTTTTCTACAATAAATGTTTCTTGAGCATAAGATCATACCAACCCCAAACTTTGAATGGTAGTGTACTTTTACAGAAGCATGAAAAGCCTGTCTCTCTGTGTTTCTCAGGTGGCTTTGGTGGATCTAATCGTGATGCTCTTAAACTGGGTGCATCCATGTTCACCTCTGCCCTGATCTTCCCCTTGTTGGTGTGGGGCAGCTACATCTTCCTGCCCTTTGATGCTCCTCTGCTCGACAGTGCCCCCCTACGGCTGGTCTACACACTGCGCTGCTCTGTTTTTGCAGTCATACCTATTGTCCTTGGTGAGCAGGAAGTTCCTGGGTCTGTTTTGACTCTGAGATGACTTGACATTGATAAACACAGTGTATCTTTGTGTTCTTTCAGTGCACAATAATTAAATCAAAGGGAGCTGTTTGGAAATGGTTGTTCTGTTCTTTCCTCCACTCTTAGGTATGTTGGTACTAGGTGTCTCCCGTCTGTGGTATCGATCCTTGAAGCCGCGGTTTGAGGGGGAGAGGGAAGTTCAGCAGGTGGCAGTTCACCAGCGCTATGTGGAGGACTCCGTCTCCCTCTTTCTGCTTTACTTCCTCCAACTGGCTGTCATGGCTGCCTACCTGAATCAGGATCTGCTTAAACTAGTTCCTCTTCTCACCATCGTTTTTGCCTTTGGCAGGTATGAAATCCCTCCTAAAATTGCAAGGCCAAATCTCTGCTTTAGAAAGCGCCACAAAATTTGGTAGTAATTAATGGGAGTATAAAGAAACACACAATTCAGGTCGATAAGACCATGTAAAGTCTTACTGGGGAAAATTACAAAAAAAAACATCACTGGGGGAAAAGATTATTACTTGTAAGCAGGGTTATTATAGTTACCTAAAACCAAAACCATAAAAACAACATTGTCGTTACATAAATATAAATAACATAAAAATAGAATATGAACTAAATAAAATATATATAAAAAACAAATTCTATTTATTTAAAAGGCCACATTTTCATTTAGTTGAACCTAAAATACCAAAATAACTAAAACTAAAATGGAAATAATAAAAAAAAATAAAAAAATGATATAGACATATAAAACAACATTTTTCAGCTTCCGGGTTTACCATATTTAATGAGTTAAATATGTCTTAACTTTTATTTTTTGGGTGAACTAGACTCAATGCATATTGTCGCTATCCGCGATACGTATTGTAGCATTTTTGTATTGTGATATATTGTGGCACGATATATTGGTACAACCCTAGTGATTAATTTACATATTTTTCATGTTTTGTTTAAATTTTTCCCCCCATGTTTGTGTACTTGTTTCTTTTTTTTATTTTCTGAAATAATAAACCTTATTTATAGGTTTAAATTAGATTATGAATCCCAGAGATTTCATGTGTAACTAGCAATACTTTTTAAAATTACTTTTAATTTGTGTCTTTGTGCATCACAGATTACTGTACTGGGTTGCAGCAGCTTGTGACAGCAGTTTGAGAGGTGTTGGCTTTGGGTTCTCATTTCTGCCAATGCTGGTTATGCTGGTGGCCAACCTCTATTTCATCTTCCTCTCTGAATCTGCAGGCTCCATCTTTGCCCCAGACATCCCAGAACCACCTGTTCCTCCAACCAAACAGCGGTTCTGGGGCTAGACATGCCACATCTGACACCTCTGCTACTGCCAAATGTAGACCAGATCTCTTTAGGCTTAGAGCCATCTTAAATTAGACTATAAGAAATTTGTGTCTGAGAACGTTTAATCCAACTGTGATTTCATTTTCCTCTCATGTTCTTTGCTTTCCTGAGTAAATTTATATCATGACCAGGTGGGTTGAAATTGCCAGAAATCCAGTCAAAGGAAAGAGGGTAGAACAAAGGGGGAATCTGTTTTTTTTTTTAGTTTTTTTTTTAACTAACATATAAATAGAAGTTGTGTAGTGAAACTTGAGACACTAAACTACAAATTAAAATGAGCTAGCTACCCTTTATTGCAGCCAAACATGAGCACAAAGCAGATGCAGAACAAGATTCATCATCACTCAAAAGAGCTCCAAATATACTGGTTTCAACTCATCTACTTTAAGATGAGAATGTCAACAAGAAGAAAACAAAATTCCAAATGTTTATTCTACAAGTATGTTTTTATTTTTTTTTTTGCTCATGCATTGTTTGCTTATTTAAGACTATACTGTGTGGTGTGTGAAGTTAGAGGCCTGCCCAAACTTGTAATCTTCCACAACCACTCCCTTTGGTAATTTAAGGGCAATGTGATGTTTACTCTGTGTGAAGTGTAGACATATTTTTAACAAATTTGTAAAAAGGTAAAGGTATAAGATATCTATTAGAAGATCTTGTAAATGAAATACTAAACAAAACTGCAAAGAGATATAAGAAAACTATGTAGCCTAGTGCAAATGAATGTATTAAGCTGAAATTCTTATATTTTCATAAACATTTTTAACAAATACAATAGTTTGTGAATGGTTGTTTTTGTGCATAATTTAAATGTAAAAACGCAGTTCATTCTATACGATGGTATTCGGTTCGAGCCTGCTCAGCAAGGTCAATGTTTTGTTTTTTTTTTGTCGGAGGGCAAAAAAAGTATTTCCTACTACCTGCTGTCATTTGATAGCTGGAGTACATGGAAAGTTGACGGCAAACCTCCAGCAGTATTAATAATATTACTTTTGTATCATATACTGTATAAGCCTGGCTCTGATGCAGAATGACATCTCGAGGCCGAAGGAAACACAGCGCTTGTCTGTTTCGAATGAGGGAGAACTGTCCGTTTCGAAAGCTGAGGAAAAACGTGTGCAATGGTAAGACCGATGACATAACTTGACTTATTACCAAATTATTTAATTAATACAAAGCTTTAAAATAATTCCTGAGAAATTTGAAATTAAATATTCACTGTATGTTCTCGCAGAGATAATGTTATGGTTGTATGTAAAACGTTTATCGTTATCTAAGTGTTCGTTTGCCCGCCCCTCGTCACGTGTTAAAATTGCCCTAAACGATTTTACTGAATTGTTTAGAGTAATTTTATCTGTTGGTTGTGCCAGCTGTCTGTCGGAAGTTGCAAATCGAGTTATGTAATACCACTTGTTTTATCGACCACATTGCACAGACTCGAGGAGCACGCTCGTGCCCACTGGAGGCCAATGGAGAACATTAGAAACCCCGCCTCAGGCAGGAGCATCCGGGTCACACTGCGGGATAAATAGAACCGTCAGCGTCGAGACCTTCTCCAGACCTCCTCAGTCTGATTCCCAACTGCAAGAAGAGTTCGCAGGTCAGTGTCAATCTGACATTAGGGGACTTTCAAGTGTGATTTCATGGCACACTGTGAATTATTGCTATGCCTGTGTATAGTATTGTTGTTGTTATTGTTATTAAATCTTTTGTTCCCCTGCCATCTGAACAGCCATGGACACAGATATGGATCCACCAACTGGTTCGGGTTATGCTGTATCAGATGCTCCAGGAGGACCTTCCAACTTAAGCCTCATTAACCAGCAGAGCCACCTGTCCTCCAGTGATACTGTCATGGGTAAGAGAAGCAGACCTTGGTTCTGCCTGTGATCCTTTTATATGTCTGATACACATTTCGTAAATGATTATTTTTGATGCATTGTTGTTTTTATGTTAGATCTGGACAGTGGAGTGGACCCAGAGACAGGAGAGCGAGCCCAGGGGTGATATCACAAATCTGTAGCATGATATCGAATGCTGGATATTGCAACCCATGACTGATAATCTGGGTAAATTTGAATGTATTTTGTCTCTAGGCAAGGACCGCTGACAGATTCAATGCTTGATGACAGATTAGGTCTGAGTGCCATTCAGCACAGCCTAAACTGCAGATGGAACTTGTTTGGTGGTGCTGAAATGCAAATACTGAATCATCTTAGCATCCGAAATATTGTCAAATGACAATAAACCTGTGCAGACTTTCAGATGAACTGCTCATGTAATTTATGGGTGGTCTTCCCTTAGATTGTTTGATGTTTAGTAAATCTAAACCAGGGGTGCCCTACCCTGGTCCTGGAGATCTACCTTCCTGCAGAGTTCAGTTCCAACACACCTGTCTGTAATTATCAAGTGCTCCTTCAGACCCTAATTAGTTGGTTCAGGTGTTTGATCAGGGTTGGAGCTAAACTCTGCAGGAAGGTAGATCTCCAGGACCAGGGTTGGGCACCCCGATCTAAACACTTCCATTGGACTTGAGTATTGTCTCATACTTTATCTGTCCATGATGATGAAATGAAAAATACAAGAGGAACATCTAAGGGTGATGCTTTAGAAATAAACAATTCTACTGTACTGTGTTTGTTTTTTCGTACATCTTTTTAAATATATTTGAATATTTTTTTGTAAAATGCTGTTTGACGGCACGTCCTTATGTGTCAGAATGGCATGTTTTTCTGTTAATGCCTGGTGCCTAGTTAATATGCACTAAATATTAAACAAAAACAGCTGGCAACTTTACAACAGCGGTGGCGAACTCCGGTCCTTGAGAGCCGCAGCCCTGCAGAATACAGCTCCAACCCTAATTAAAACTCACCTGCCTGTAGCTTTCTAGTAACCCTTCAGACCTTGATTAGCTTGTTCAGGTGTGTTTGATTAGGGTTGAAGCAAAACTCTGCAGGTCTGCGGCTCTCCAGGACCGACGTTCGCCACCCCTACTTTACAATAAGGGTCTCTGCACTAACCAAGATTTACAGCAAAGTTTTGGTCACTGTTGTTTTATGTTAGCTTTTAATGTTCATTTTTGCATATACTAAATACATTAACATTTGTATTAATATATCATGAATGAACATTAATCAATTAAAATGAACCTGTTCATTGTTAGTTCATGATACCTAATGCATTAATGTTAACTACCTGAACCTTATTGTAAAGTGTTGCATTTGGGAAAATGGGACGCATGTAGACATTTTTTTAAACGGTCAAATAAATTTTTTAATGTGAAGGGTTCTGTGTGACTTTTTTTGGGGGAAGTTTGAAAATTTTACAGCTTCTGTGAAAAAATGTAATTGCATAATCATAGTAAACTACCAAGGTGTTGTGAAAAAAGCACCTTCATTTATATTCTATTTAAAAGGGGTTCAGCCCAGGAAAAACTCAACAACATGGTCTGATATTGAAATTTATCACCGGTAGGAAATGCAAAGTAACAATACCAGCAAAGTGAAGCACAGAGATACTAGCACAAACATCCTAATCCAATCCAGAGTGGTTTCATTTCCAGAGGGGAAGAAAAACAATTGAGGGAAGAAGAGCTTCTGGCCTAATGACAACACAAAGCAACAGTGCAAATGGCTTTCTAATGAAAACATTGTGGTGGAGAATGGAGTTTTCCACAAATAAATGCTTGTGCATAATTGCTCTTCATTTGCTGCATTACTGTCCTTTCTGAACTCTTCTTCCTTCATCCTCTGTACTTCCTCTTCCTTTACTCCTTGTCCTCCATCGGTGCACCACCCGCCTGGTCTTCTCCCTTCTTTTTGTGACCAGAAACGATGTCATCAATGCGCAGTAACAGGATGGCCGTCTAAGAGGAAAACGAGAAAATCCATTAACAGTCATAAGAAAAATCACCTCTACCTAGGGCTGGACGATATGGCCAAAATTGATATCACGATATATTTCTTAATTTCGGTCGATACGATATAATTCCGATATCGATATGACCACTATTTATCTGAAATAGAAATCTTTTGTAACATTATAAATGCCTTTATCATCACTTTTGATCAATTTTAAGCATCCTTGCTAAATAAAAGTATTAATTTCTATAATTTCTTTCCCAAAAAAATAATAAAAATTATACTGAATGGAATAGTGTATAATGTTACAAAAGCTTTTTATTTCAGATAAATGCTGATCTTTGGATCTTTCTATTCATCAAAGAATCCTGAAAAAAAAAAATGACTCAACTGTTTCAAATATTGATAATCAGCATATAAGAATGATTTCTGAAGGATCATGTGACACTGAAGACTGGAGTAATGATGCTGAAAATGCTTTCTCTTTCTGCAAATTGTATGGTGTAGCGATATGACTGCACCCAAAATGCTATCAAACACTCCAACGCAGCTCCATTCTTCGCGAAAGATGGATAAAAAGGCGCACAGCAAACAAAAACCTCGAAAAAATTATATGTGACCCGCCAAATGCTGGCCGAATCACAGAGATGCCGATTCGCACGGGAATAATATTATCACAGGACCTGGGTGTTCGGCGAAATATGGTAGGTCATTTGCGGAGGAATTTTTACTTTACAAATTACAGACATGGCCGATTCGCACGGGATTAAGATCACAGACAACCTCCGCAATTATTACAAATGACTGGAGGTCACCAGGTAATACTAATCCTGTGCGAATAGGGCTTAAAGCAGTTTTTCTCCATGTGCCATTTTACCTCAACTGCAGTTTTGTATGTCTGGGCTTTAACTGCCAGTGGTTCCCAGATCCCCAGCTGCTCCATATCAGCAAGAGTTCCTGTCTCTGCATTGATACCCCATGAAGAGTTGCCCTCCTGAGTGTGCTTGGCCTGGAAAAGAGATGAGAAACGCTTTGTAACGCCAACTGAAATGCGAGTTACTCAAGAGTAGCATCAACATACTGAAATAAAAATACAAAAAAAATGGTGCTTTCAATACCACTTACTCTAAGGGAAGTGAGCACTCGTATTGCTGAGGCTCCACAGTTCTGGATGAGTGTACGTGGGATGACCTCCAGGGCCTGAGCCACAGCGCGGTATGGCCACTGCTCTACACCGGTCAGCGCTCGCGAGCGCTCCGTCAGCCGATGGGACACCTCCATCTCCAGTGCTCCACCGCCTGGCAACAGATGCGGGTCCAACAGGACGTTACGACAGACCTGCATGGCATCCTGCAGGTTTCGCTCAACTTCCTGAGACAGATCATCAGTCAAACAGCGACAAGTCAATTAACCTGCACAAAATCCCGATTCTCTAGCTGAGCTGATCAAATATTCAACAAATGGCTTGTTGAATTATCTAAGCACCTCTTCCTGAGGGCTGCTCTCACTATAGAGACCTTTGTGAGACTTTCTATAACGATTAAAAAACATCCTCATTAATCTTCCTCTGAGCATTGCATAGTCATGAATTTTTAACAGTGGCTCCAGTCTCCTCATTTCTTTGGTTTTTCTCTTTTCTCACCGCTAAGATCTCCTTGCTGGCTCCTCTGAGGAGAATGGTGCAGGCTTTGGGGTCTTTACACTCTGTCACAAAGGTGAAATACTCATCGCCAATCTTCTTCACTTCAAATAGACCGGCTCCTGTACCCACATCCTCTTCACGGAGCTCATCTGTTCTGCTGGCAATACGTGCACCACATGCTCTGAGAGAGAGAGACAAGCAGAAGAAGAGTTAAAGTTTGCCACACTCCTTAAATATTTGATGTTGCTTTCACATCTGGCCCATTGTTTCGGA